CATAAATAAAAGGGGCGTACAACTTTTAGGGGCTAAGTGTGAAGATGAATCTATCAATTCCTCAAGATATAGTCATTGAAATATTGTCATGGCTTCCTGCTAAGTCTTTAATGCGTTTCAAGTGTGTTACCAAATTTTTTAATTCTCTTGTTTTTAACTCAAATTTTATGGATATACATAGATGTCGATCTCTGACCCGTCCCGGTGGAAAAAAGTTATTTTTGCACGGAAGTAAATTTTATTGCACCTCTGATCAGCAAAAGGAAGATGGAATAAACTCTGCCTCCATTCTTCAAATTGAGAGTTTTGGTGAACTCTCCTTTCATATCCATGTAGATCCTCGTTTGAATTGTGTTAACAATTTATTTTTACTTTGGCAACCATTATCTGTGCAACCTGCTACAATCTTAAACCCTAGTACAACAGAAGTGAAATTGCTTCCAAGCCTAATCGAAGGTTTTTCTTGGTGTCACTATTCATTAGGTTTTGAGCCCGAAGAAAAGAAGTATAAAGTTCTTTCGACAGCAAAATATGATCAAGAAGGTTACATAAAAAACAGGGTTTTCACTTTAGGCATAGATGAGACATGGAGAGAGACTAAACACAATCCCTCCACTATTCATTGCAAGCCCGGGATTTGCATCAATGGAGTTATCTATAGGTTTGTTTTCCACAGAGGAGTTCTTGCTATAGCTGAATTTGATGTTAAAACTGAAAATTCCAAACTTATTGCATTGGGGGATGCCCTTCACGGGTGGTCTTTGATGTTTATAGAGCTGAAGGGTAAACTAGCTGTCATTGATTATAAAACACGTTCACATGAATATATCCACTTGCTTGTTTTAGAAAAAACTCGAAACGTAGAAGAATGGAAGAGTCATATCATTCAGTTGCCTTCAACATGGAATACTTTAACATGGAAGGACATGCAACAAGGAGTCATACCCGATGACATATCATCATGCGCGTCTTGTGATGATGAGATTTTATTCATCTCGAATTTAAAGTCAGGTACTTTATGTTTCTGTTATGATGTCACGAGACATAGTTGGAGAAAATTAGAAATTAAGGGGCTTCCTAAGAACCACGACATCAAAGGCATTTTTAGTTATGTAGAAAGACTTGTTATGTAGAAATTAAGTCTCTTTCCATTTGAGATTTTTTGCAATTCATATGTTTGTTTGTTTTTTACATCTGGATATCAAGCCTAGAAGATTTTGGTGTATATGTCGATATATATTTAATTATAGATTATGATTATGTTGTTCTGTTCTATTAATGTCAAATATCTATACATCCATACGAATTACTGCTAAAATTTAGCTTGTTCTGTTTTATTGCATCTGGATATCAAGCCTATTTTAGTGTAAAATTAGCATCTCAATTAAAGTATATGCCGATATATATATTTAGTTACAGAGGATGATTTTATTGTTCTGTTTTATTAATGTCAAATACCTCTGTACAGCATACACATATGAGGACAGTGTGGCTAACTCCAAATTATTACTTTCTTTATATTAAAACACATCTTGATGTTGAGTTGGCCCACACGCTCCTGTTGTCGATTGTGAACAAGTATATGGCCTGAAAATTTTGACCGCGATAAATTTCTCTTAGGAGTAGCTCTATAACTGAAATAACACAAATAGAATCTAGTTCTGGCAATCTAGTAGAGATAGTTGTATGGACTCGTTAATTTTTAAAAAAATCTGAGCAGGCTATTCTCATGGCTTCCTGTCGAGTCATTAATGCATTTCGGAATCAGATTTTAATTCTCTTGTTTCCGAATCAGATTTTAGTGATATTCATAAACTCATCTCCCCTTTTAAACAGCTGAGCTAAGGAAGATGGAAAAATCTCTATCTCCCTTTTTCAAAACTGAGAAATTTGATGGACTCATACTGTTATTCAGATTCTTCATTGGATCGCGTTAATGGTTTATTTTTGCGTTTGGGAACCCTTATCTGCTATAGCTGCATTTGATGTTAAGTCTGAAATTTTTGAAACTAATGCATTGTGGAATTCAAATGATCAGTGGATGTATGTTGCAAGCAGATAGATGGTCTTAATTTTCCTCCATGGTGTGGTTAATTATTATTTTATGATGTGTTTATATATACTAGTATTTGGGCACGCACGTTGCGCGTATATCCCTTACCACAGTGAACATAAGTATTTTTCAAAATTGAATCAATATGATAAATATATTCAAAAATCAATGACATCCAATATCTAAAATGTCCAACTTTGAAGATTCTTAATTAGTACTAAATTGATTTTAATTTGAATTTATGAGTTAAAATTTGATATGAATTTGTCAAATTTTAGTAGTTTTTATATAGATATTATGTTTTGATCAAAAAACAATTAAGTTAATTAAATTCATAGATTACATGCTTAATATGCTCATATCATCAATTAACCGTTGTCCTACCTCCAAAATCAATATTACATTTCTATACGAACTTTATTTGATGTGACTCAACGCAATTATAATATTTTTTTTAGTTAGAAAAGGAATTCAACATTTCATTTATATTTTATCGAACTATATTGTTAAAATTGTACTTGAGAAACAAAAAGACATGTATTGTTTTATGTTGTCAAAAAAAAAGACATGATAAAAAATAATATTACGACATATGAGTGATAAGTAATATAAATTCTGAAGGAGAATGGGAGGGATAAACTATGGTTCAAAACTAAATAATCAACTAAAATTAAAGCAAAGAAAGTTAACATAATTTCGTGAGAAAAATAACCAAAATATGATATTGTATTCATTCCTTTCTTTCTTTAACATGGGTTGTTATCCTCCCTTCTTTCCTTTTGGATGAAAGCTCTATTAAAAAAATTAAATTCAGACAAAGAAAGTGAAGCCAAATAGGCAATGGCCAGTGAATATATATCAAATCACTCAACATGCCATAGCTCATAAATACATTTTTTACTTTTATTAGGTTATGATGGTTAATATCAAAATTCAATACTTAATTAGTTTTACACACAAATAAATCACATGAATCTGCATATGAAAAATCGATAAATTTGATAAGTAAGAAGTAAGAAACAAAATAAAAAATAACTTAAAAGAACACGCACAATGGATCATCGGAAAGGACAGTGTTCCTAGGCTCTCTATCAAACTCATAAAACAAAATGTAAAGAACAAGAAGATATACAAATGTGAAATGAAAAGACAAGGATCATAGTGGAGAATGTAAAGAGACAACAGTTTCTTTAGAAGAATATTAATGAATAATTGTCTTTTTAATGTATCTATTTTATGTAAAAATATATATTTTAAGTACAATATAATATGTGATATGATTACTATTTAATATTTTGTTAATTAAATATTTTATTAACATTTTATTTAATATAGGGTAAAATGGTAATCCAACATTGTACTTTGATGCTTCCCACTTTTAATAATATATGATATGATATGGTAAAAAAAATATAAAGAAAAAAAAAAGCATGCTTTAATATATGTGTTTTGAAGCAGTGAATGATCAAATATAAAATCTTTAAAATATATCTCGTGAAAGTTATCACCATAAACAAAAAAAATTCAAAAAAACTCATTTGGTATATATATATATATATATATATATATATATGCTTTCTTTACTAAGATATATTATATATGGAAGAAGATAGTCAATTAATTAAATAATTAGACGGGCGCTCAATCTTTGCAATAATACTTTGTACCTCATCTTTGTGTGAAATATGTATTGGACATATATAACATTGAGTATGTATATCAAACACAGTTTCCTAACGTATGAAAATACGTGATGTTCACGTCTGAATGTCTAACTTATATTTTGTCCTTACCAAAAGAGTGAAGTTTCATGCAAAACAAAAATGCATTGATTATCCATTTTTGGCGTATTATTTTTGTCCTCTTTAGCCACCTCATCTCTACCTCCTCCGATCATCTCCCTCTAATCAGACCACCACGCCGTCACTGTCACTGCCACCACCACTTCCTTCTTCTTGAGACTCAATCATGCACCATCTGCCACCTGCTTACCTCCTTCTTCTTCCTCTTTAGATTTGACTATCATTACCTTCTTTACTACATTCGGTCATCACCGAAAGAGTGAAGTTTTATGTAGTGTGTGCTTTGGCCTAGGGCTTTCTTTCGTGGAGATCTACTCCTATCCATAGTAGATTGCTTCTTTTTTTTGGGTGTCTCCATGACTTCATCTTCTTCTTTTTTAAATTTCACTCTCTACATGTATTTTTCTAAAGAATTACTATTTTTTTAAAATACAATTACATTTTACTCATTAGATAACACTAGGGGTGTTCACGGGTCGGTTTGGATCAGTTATTGATCAAAACCAAAACCAAACCAATTTAATCGGTTTTAAAATTATCAAAACCAAACCAAACCAAATATAATATACATTTATCGGCTTGGTGGTTATCGGTTTCGGTTTGGTTTGATTCGGTTATTAACCATACACAAAAATAAAAGAAACAATTCATTCAAAATGTGAAAAAAGTGACAACAATCCATTCAAAACGAAAAATAGTTAGAATGACTTAAATTACTGAACTTTCGATCACTAAATTTACTATCAATAAAGCTTTAAAATTCACTATATTGACCTAGACAGAAGAGACAATAACATTTTCAGTCCCACAAAGAATTGTCATAGACACTCATATACGTGAAATCAATAAGATAAATGTTTCATCTTGGATATTTTTGCTTTCAATAAGTAAATTATAAATAAATTTTAATGAAAATATGTATAGGATCTATAAAATTGTTTATAAAAAAATCAACCAGTTTTATTTTAGATTAAAAAAACCGACCTACTCAACATTTTTAAAGTAGGTATATAAAAATTTATGAACTTTTTGACGGAAAATAATATGGTAAGACAATTTTAACCCCCAACTATGAAAAAAGAAAATCTGTGTGGAGGGTTTCTGAAAGCATTAATAACTTGGGCCGCAGCCTTCAGCAATCAACTATGGAGACGAAGATGAAGAAATTCGGAAGAAGAAAAGTCTCAATTCCTGATGAAATAATGTTTGAAATATTCTCATGGCTTCCTATTAAATCTTTAATGCGTTTCAAGTGTGCTTCCGAATTTTGTAATTCTCTAGTATCCGAATCACACTTTTCGGATATCCATAGATGTCATTCTATGACCCGTCCTGGAAGAAACTTCTTTCTCCATGAAAGGAAAGGTTTTTACTCGGTTGAGCAAGAGAAAGGTGGAAATATGTCTGCCTCTCTTTTTCAACCTGAGAGATTTATTGAATCTATAAATAAATCTAGTATGAATTGCGCTAATGGTTTATTTTGCGTTTGGCAACCATCAATTGTGCGATCTGCTGTAATTTTCAATCCCGGTACAAGAGAAGTTAGATCTCTTCCGCTCCCAAATAAAGGCACTTCTTGTGGAAACTATTTAATAGGTTTTGAGCCACAAGAGAACAACTACAAAGTGTTTTATTCGGAAAAGCCAAGTGGATACGGAGAACAATGGATTTTAACTTTAGGCATAGATGAATCGTGGAGACAGATCACTCAAAGCATTTTCCCTTCCCTTCTATATGATAAGCCTAGTGTTTGCACTAGCGGAGTTATCTATTAGTTTGATAATGCTCCCAATCCTGCTATTGCAGCATTTGATGTTAAATCTGAAAATTTTGAAATTATTACACTGTGGAATGAATCTACCTGGTTCTACTATTACCACCTGATAGAGGTGAAGGGAAAATTAGCAGTAGTGGATTGTCACATGGTATGCAACTCCTTCGACTTGTGGATTTTAGAGCATTCTCTAAAAAGAGAATGGAAGAGACGTGTCATTCAATTTCCTTCAAACTGGAATTACAAAGTGCCTCGACCTATATCATCGTGCATGTCTCGTGATGGAAAGATTGTACTCATCCACAACTTTAACTCAAGTGCTTTATGTTGGTGTTATGATCTCATTGCAACGAGAAACACAAGGAGATGGAGAAAAATAGAAATCAAGGGGCTTCCTGAGGAGAGCTGGATCTATGACATTTATAGTTATGTGGAGACCTTAGATAGTACTAGCATTTAGTATATGTTAAAAGTCTCATAGATGATACTATTTGATTGTGAGTTTTGGTTTATGGGATTTGTTAAATTTAAATAAATTCTTTATATTTTTAGCTTGTCTGTTTTTTTGTCAAATATCTATACATCAATACGAATTACTATTGAAATTTAGCTAACCTCACTGTCAACAACAACAACCAAGTGTATCGCAAAACCTGAGCTTCGGGTTTGGCATATATGCATGATACAATTGAACTGGTCTCCATTTGTTTGTTTGTTCACTAGTCACAAGTCAAATTATTTGCTTTAGTCCCAATATGGAACGATATACCGTATATGGCCTTATTATCCTGCACAACACGTGATGGTCAGGTCTTTAACCGTTACATTATGTCCAACAAAATTGATGAGTATGTACCTCTGCTGTAGCATTCCACACAATGTACGGGTAAAGATATTCAGAGTATAGTTTCCGCATTAAAAGTGAATTTTGGCCGAATGATGCAATGCATTGATAATAAAACATAACACAACAAGGCTATTTTTTCCATAACAAGAGATTTTTCTACACGGCTGAGCAAAGGAAGATGCAAAAGTCTCTATGTCCCTTTCCCAAACTGATAAATTTGATGGAAAAGTCTCTATCTCCGTTAATGGTTTATTTTGCATTTGGGAACCCTTATCTGCTGCAATTTTCATCCCTGTACAAAAGAAGTAAGATTTCTTCCCGACCTAGATAGTCCATCATTCCTTTGGTATGAACTGTTCTCAAATGTATCAAATTGTTTTCCTTTGGGGATGCATCCAACAAGATGATTGTGAGAGAGATGTAAGACTTCAAGTGATGTGCATGAGGGATGCAAGTTGTTAAATTTCTCCGTTGATTTTGTTGGATGAGAGATGAAGATTGTTCGTCAAATGAAGAGATTCCAAGTTGGAAAGATGGAAAACTCCGAGAAGTATCCCATATAACTGTGTGTTCCAAAAGTCTAGAGGAGTTAAATAAGAAGAGAAATTCAGAGGGATGGTGGAAGAGATGTCCACCAGAGTTAAGATTGAGCTCTCTTAATTGGGTCAAGTTCTTAAGGAGCAGTTAAATATTGTGAGGTCCAACTCTAAGCCCATATGGATCATAATTCTAGATACAAAGAACATGTAATTTAGAAAGATAAGATATTTCATAATGGATTTGACCTGAAAAATCTGAATATGATAGATCAGGATGAGTCCTGCTAGAAAATCCACCAAATTTAGGGGAATGTGCGATCCCGAGAAATTATTACAAGACAAATCAAGCCTTTTGAGATTGGAGAGGTTAAAAAGCCTACCATTGGAACGAAAGTTGCCATGAAATCTGCTGCAAGTGAGGTTAAGCTCAATCACTTGTTGCCATGTCGCCTCGTAACAATAAACTACATCCCATGAGCAACAAGTGATGCTCTTGCTCCATTATTAATATTACGTAACAAAGTATTATACAATACTACATTGCATAGTATAATGCATCGTGAAGATTAACTCTAATTTATCTGTATATATTCAAGTAGGAAATAAGTATTGAATCAATTTAAATTTTTAGAGATAAAAAAAGAAAGAAAAGTCTATAAGAGTATAAGGTGATGTATGGGCCTTGATAAGAAAACTTAAGTAAATAATGGGGATAAGGCACAATTACCCCCCAGACTATGACCAAAATTCTAGAGACACATCTTAACTGAACTAAGGTATATTACCTCCATGAACTCATTTTTTTAGTAATTTCATACACCTTTTGGCTTACGTGACACACTCTATGAACTCCACATAGTTGAGGCGTGTGGGAGATGTTTTGGATGTCACGTAAGACCAAAAAGATATACAAAATTACAAAAAAAAATGGATGGGGGGGGGGGGGGGGTTAATAGGACCTTAGTTTAGTTAAGGTGTGTCTCTGGAATTTCGGGTCATAGTCTAGGGGGGTACTTGTGCCTTATCCCTAAAAAATTCAAAAAAATGTTTTTTAATTTGGATAAGTGTTTTGTTTTGTTTTTCACTCGGTGTTCGACACCCGCATTGGACCCCCTACATATCTGAATTGGACACTACAGGGTCCATTCTGCGCGTGACGTTTCCAATAGAAAAATTTCCTTACTCAGGCTAAGATAAGAGTGCTAAGTGATGTAGACCTTGACTCAAAGATAAAAAGAACTCTAGTCAAAAATCACTTAAACATTTTGTGGGATTGATTCTTTAAGTTCAGATAAACAAATATTGTGAATCACCAATTGATGTGATAGATTTAATGTAATTTTGATGAGGAATATTGTGAATCACAAATTAAGCAAAGAAAAATTCTACACTTGTTTTGGAGTAATCATTTTCAAGAAGCTCATCCAGTCACTTTCAATCAAATTTTGAGTTGTCAATTATGTATTCACATTCTCTAGTGAAATTCTATTGAAAAATCTTTCTTAGATTATTATAAAAACTAGTATACGTACCCGCGCGTTGCGCGGCAATAAATGAACTTATGATTAATTTAATTTCATCAAACATCAAATAGTTGAAATATTTTTACATATTTGTTCTTTATTATTTTTATGTTATATTGATATATTTTTCATATTAACAATTTATTAGTTAAAAATATTTCACATGAAATGTAAAATATCATAAGATTAAATGACATGTTTCTATATTTTGCATATATGTTTTTTTTCAAATTCATAAGATTCAAAATATTCTTTACATTCTTAAATTTGTGTCAAACGATAATAGAAAAGTAATTTAAAATAGAGTCAATATAAAATCATGTCATAATAATAGAAACATGTACATGATATATGCATTTTTTATTAATCATTGAAAATAATTAATTAATCAGTTTGTTATATTATTTTTTAAAACATTAATTTAATCTCTTAAACTTTCGCAGAAGAAAATAATAATTTAAATTTTAATCAATGATTAG